ATTCTTCACCTCAAATCAATTACTCTGTAATAGGAGAGCAGGGCAATGCTGGCCTGTTTTTCATTAAACAGCAATCACATGAGGGACCAGTGCATCAAAATGACTGCAGCAGGTTGCTGGTAAGGGGCCCAAGAGGTTTCTGTGAAAAAAGAAGATGTTTGTACCCTCATGAATCACTGTGAGAAGATGCAATTCAATAATACAGAAACCTCATGATGCAAAAGCTTAAAATGCGATGGGCCTTATCGATCGGGCTGGTCGGGAGGCCCCAAATGGCATCTAGTGTGCTGGAAACAGAGAGGCGAAGTATCGGGCAGCATCTTCTGTAAATCTGTCTGGGTGGAAGACAAGTATGGGCATGAGGATATTGGGGGGTGGAGATAAGGAGCCAGATGTGTTTATGACTTGCTGAGTGTTGAATATCTGAAGCGTTCCATCAGCACACCTCTCGCTGCTGATGCATCCCTCACTTGGTTTTGATCCTGAGTTCTGCTGAGTAGAATGCAAAAGCTTAAAATGCGATGGGCCTTATCGATCGGGCTGGTCGGGAGGCCCCAAATGGCATCTAGTGTGCTGGAAACAGAGAGGCGAAGTATCGGGCAGCATCTTCTGTAAATCTGTCTGGGTGGAAGACAAGTATGGGCATGAGGATATTGGGGGGTGGAGATAAGGAGCCAGATGTGTTTATGACTTGTTGAGTGTTGAATATCTGAAGCGTTCCATCAGCACGCCTCTCGCTTCTAATGCATCCCTCAATGGTTTTGGTCCTGAGGTCTGCTGAGTAGATGCACATCATTCTAACACTTCCTGAAACACAGATACTGCAACTGTGTTCTTGGAAGAACCTGCAGAGTCATTCTCTTTCACCACACATAAGAGATAATACATGATTGATTCTCACAAAAACAAATAGTCATGAATGTCAGTACCATATTGAAAGAAAGAGTAATGATGCTGAAAATTCAGCTTTGCATCACAGGAATTAATTACATTTTAAAATATATTATGATATAAAACACTTATTTTAAAATGTAATATTTCACAATTTTAACAGTATTTTTGATCAGATAAATGCAGCTTTGATCAGATGAAAAATGAATTGAAAGAGTAAAACCTTTGCATATTGGATTTTTAGTGTTGTTGCAATAGAGTTTTTGCTGTTATTGTTTTACAAGGGTGTATTGGCAGTTGTTCTTCAGTTTTAATAGAATTTAGTGTGAAATGTCCCTTTTGCAGAGCTAGTAACCTTTTCAAAAATTATTGTTCTATTACTTAGGGACTTTCCATTAACCGTGTTAGGAGGGTGAACTAAATAATACACAGTAACAGGGTCCTAGTGGTGTCATTTACTGGGTGTCACAATTTTAATAAATATAATTTTAAATAATTTAATAATAAACAATGACTTGGAATATCAACTCAACGAATATGGGCAATATTACTTTTTTATTTTTTGCATTATTTTAATTGTTGAATACAATCAAAAGCCCAATATCTGGAAATACAAAGTCCCAAAAAATAGACAGGCTATTTCTATTTATATATGTATGTATGTTATTTATTTCTTTTTTCTTTTTACTCTACCTAGTGGTTGCTTTTCATGCTAGGTTAATTTTATGTTACATAATAGCCACACATCAAGCACATCAAATACAAACACTAATGCTCTAAAGTAATGGGACACAAAATTCATGAAAAGTGCCTTAAACAATGCAAACTCCTAAAAAGCTGTCTGAGCTGTTTCACATCCAGTCTTAAATATTTCAGGATTTATGAAGTTATGTTAGGAAATAAAAAAGTTAAAAAAGGAGGCTGCTGTCATCTTATGAAAATGAATGTTGCATGATTGCTGGATATTAACCATTTTCCTTTCCATAGGAGAATCACAGAAAAAGGCAAAATGTCTCCATTCCTCCATTTAATGTCATACGTTTTCATGACATTCTTGAAACATCCATCTCTTGAGAGCCTCATTATTCCATCTAGGCCTGAGATTGTCACATTTGCAAATATTTAAAAGCAAGGCAAATGTGACAGTTGCAATATTCACATAAAAAAAAGCTTTACCTAGGGATCTATTCTTGGCCTACCTAGTCAATTACCAGCTAATGAGCTGACCTCAGCTGACATTCACTCCCAAACTGCTAAGGTGGAATTAGTCTACTTCTTCCGTCAGAGGAAGTGCCCCAGTCACACTGTAAGAGAGTATGTTAGAAACTGTGGATGTGTATTAAATGTCACACTGAACACATTTTAATGATCAACAAAAAATACTGCTAATACAAGACCTAAAAATGGAACATGAGTCCATCGTAATTTCCAAAATGTAGCGGAGCATACCAAATGTTAATAGTGTACAGTAGATCTGCGTTCACTTTCATAGCTGGTCAGAAGGATGGGTTTGTAGGTTTGGGGATGTTAGGGAGGGCAGGATGTGTAGAGAAAGGAAAACATCCTCTTGTCATCCTGGGGAGTTGTTATACTGCAAGACATGCTCAATTTCACGGTTAAATTATTTACATGGATGACTGGCAAGCGCCGTCAGCAGACAGGTGTAGTTTGAGAGGCCATCGGCAGGGGTTCCTGAGTTCCAAGAAGTTCACAGAAAGCGACTGGGGCCATGAACTGAGAATCTGTCATTTCAAAAAAGCAGTAGCTGTCGCACTTTCTCTCCTTTGACGCAACAAAACCATTCTCAGTCCATACCTTACATTTATCAGGTTCATACCCAAAAAGAACAACATTTCTTTTAAAATACCTGCGGAGAGCAAGGAAAACATGGCGGGATGAGGTGAGGTGTATTTTATTGGCCCTCCTACGGTTTCCAGAGAGAATTGACCGTGAAACTCAATCTACATTGAGGCGTTCATCTTAAACAATTTCACCCCACAGAAACACCTGTAGTTCACTTTATTGAGCGAGAATGTGTCACAAACTTGATCAAAACTCATCCGTTTGGTTGGGCTGTGACAGCCGTTCTCTCTGTTGTAGTTTTGAGCTTCTCTGACGGTGGTGAATTGGTTTTTCAGTAGTGGTTGGCATTGAAGTATATTCTGTAAATTGTCCATTGAAACATGGGTGAACAATAAAGCAGGTTGATATCGAAATGCTTTGCATTTTTAAAATACTCTGTGGGATTAGTTATCCTTTAATTAATAAAACTTTTTTTTTTTTTAATTCCTTCCAGTATAGATACAAAACTGATTGTAAAACATTTCGAAACCGAAAGGACTATTTTGATGTTGCTGTTTAAAGTGCAGACAATGTTCATATTTGACAGGATAATCAATGTACACATTAAATATAAAGCTACAAATGAAGTTATGAAGATGATTTTCACATTCTAAACACTGGGTCAGTTAACATGGATATCGCAGGATAAATGGCATTAGAGTACAAATAAAACAGCAGGTTGACAAGTTCAAAACTGTGTTATCAAAACTAATACAAAGACACGTAAAACACATGTAAGTGGGTAAAAGGACATTGCAAGTGGATTGTATGTAAAGGTAACATGTTCATTGTCAGTGCTATAAATTAAATGAAAGAAAGAAATTAGTGAGTCAAGTCGGCATATGTAAAAAAGCAAACAAATACAAACAGATAGAAAAGCATTGAGAATAGTTTACCCAAAAATCTGTGATATCAGTTACACTCACCCTCATGATTTTATCCAACAGTTAAATAATGCAAAAATACTGAGCAACTTACATTTTACCCAGACTGTATTGGCAGATACACTGAAAAAAATGTTTCATTCCCTAAGGGCAAGTTATTTATTTTTCATTGGCTCAAGTTAAAAAATATAGATGTGAATCATTACCCTCAATTTTTTTAATTGGATGAACGAAACATTTTTTTCAGTGTACTTTAGTTTTGCATCATCAATGAAAATAGATTCAAAGTCAGAACAGAACCGTTGCACTTCTCTGGGCAACAAACTTTCTGAATGATTCATTATTTTGAACAAATCAGTAAATGATTCAGCAATTTGCTCATAAAGAGTATTTTTTTTATTGTTCCTGAATTAATCAGCATATTTATGAACAAATCAGGTGAGTAAATGATTCAATGATTCACTCATAACGATAAAATGTGTTTTATCACCACCTACTGGTGTAACGATGTAATGTACAGAAAGAGTCACTGAAGAATCACACACACACACACACACACACACACAGGTTTGTTTTTGTGAAAAATGGGTAAAATATGTGTGCTTTAAATACCTAACTGCAGTTTAAATCTCGACACTTTGCATTTTAGGGTAAACTATTCCTTTAAGCAAAAGATTTTGAAAACTTCACAATTTACCTGAAACAAATGCCATTAAATTAATACATGATCATATACTGGTGGCAAACTAATGAGCTACTAAATAAGCTACTGAAATGATCAGCAGGATGATCTGACAATTAAACCAGAAGGGTCAGTCTGTTCACAACAACAACAACAAAAAAAAGTTCAGTTCTCAGATCTTCTCCAAGATTAAGCCTTAAAGCTCCGTCAATCCATCTCATCGTGATTTCAGGTGAATCTGACCTACTGTGCATAAGATAAAATCCAACACTCTTCTATCCGCCAGTAACACCAAAGGGTTATTGTGCTTTCTTAGAGACGTTCAGCTTCTCCACTGATAAACCTTCCACCGACTGACCTGTCAGAGTGAAAAATGTGCCTGTACTGGCCCATCACTCTGAAAGCCACCACTGTGACACATATTCTCTTTGACCATCTCTGGTGGTCAATAACATATTTACTCGACATGTGGGAAAATCTAGTTACCTCCCAGATATTACAGCAGGGGCTGGACACACCAATAGCAACCTTGTCATGTTTAACTACGAGTTATTGATTAAGCACTGAACGAAAATAACATAGGACAAGCTGCCTCTCCGTCGGATGTCTGAAGAGTTAAAAGTCTTTATTTTTATGAAAAGCTACACGTTCTTGCTAAATGTCACAGCTACAGAAGTATTTTTTGTTTGTTTTATTTTGTATTTTTTTTAGACGACTATCGATTTTTTTTTTCATTAGTACATTTTTGACAATACCTGCAAAGTTTCGTAATAATATTCAGAGATGTGAACAATAGAACAAGAGAAAAACATCGGCCCATTCGGCATTAGCACAAACACTACAAGATGGTGGGAAAACGGGAATTGAAAGATGAATAGAAACAGAAACATGAGAAAGAGGTTGTCGCCGGAAAGTTCTTGCGTTTCTGCATTGAGTGTCTCTAACACCTACAGCCCTCTTTGAGCTCTTCTAGTCAAGTTTTCTAGTTCTCACTCATTTATTCTCCTCCTTGGTTGGCCTAATCTTCATCTCGGAGAACTTCAGCGAATACTGCCAACCCGTCCACGACGACCACTCGATGCCGTCGGCATACGAGGTGTGTTGGCCGCGCAGGTACTGTCCGTTGAGGTTGGAGGTGTGGCAGTTGCGGTACCACCAGGCGCCGTGGTAGAAGGACGCGCAGTTATTCTCAGAGTGGTCGTTGTCCTTGTCCTTAGTGGTGAATTTCATCCCGTTGTGTTTGAGCAGCGAGTCGCCTGCAGCGTCGGATCAATGCGTGATGGAAAGACAGATTGAGAAAGACAGAGGAAGGGTGGAGGAGTGAGCATGTGAGAGATGGGGATGGCGAGAAAAAGAGACAGAAACAAAAGAACAAGTGAGTCACTCAACCGCAACGTCTTTGTTTATCCGTGTCATGGAAAGTTTAGATTACTGCAGTAAAACAGTACACAGTTTCAACAAATAAAAGAAGTTTTGTTCCAAAACATAGTGAGCTACCTTGCTGTCTACAGTCTACATCGTAAGCATCATCCTAACTCAAATGGAACCTTAAAACAAAGTGTGATAAATATAAAAATACACAAATATTGGGGGAAAAAAAGTACATTTTTAATTTAATTGATTGTGTTTTTTTTTTTTTTTTATAATTTTCCCTCCTAAATTGATTGCAAAATATTTTTGTATTTTACAATATAGGGCTAAAAAAGAAAAACAAAGCAATAAAATTCATAATCAAGTGAATGAGAGAATGCAAGCTAGTTTCTATTGAACTTTATTGATTTAAACAATCCTGTGCTTGAAAACTATAGACAAAGTTATTTATTTATTTATTTTTATAGTGTTATTAATACAACACTGTTCAAAAGTTTGAAAAAAAAAATTTTTTTTAAGCAATCAATATTACAGCAAAGGATTCAATAAATCGATCAAAAGTGACTTTTACATTGATACAAATAAATTATTTTAATTAAATGCTGTACTTTTTATCTTTTATCTTTATATAAGAGTCCTGAAAAAATAAATAGCTGTTTCCACAAAAATATTAAGCAGCACAACTGTTTCAACACTGATAATAATAAGAAATGTTGAGCACCAAATCATATTAGCATATTAGAATGATTTCTGAAGGATTATGTGATACTAAAGATTGGAGTAATGGCTGCTGAAAATTCTGCTTTGAATCACAGGAATAAATTACATTTTAAAATATGTTCAAATAGAAAACAGTTATTTCAAATTGTAATAATATTTCACAATATTACTGTTTTTACTGTATATTTGATCAGATAAATCCAGTCTTGGTGACCAAAAAAGGCTTCTTTCAAAAAAAATTTAAAATAATAATAATTATATATATACAGTATATACAGTATATATATATATATATAGTCATATATATCATAGTCATTAATGCATTTATATTTGCTTTTTAAAGCCTTCATAAATCCATAAAATCCAATTGTTTAGAATAGTGATGCTAAAACACTGCTTATAGGCTCATATATTGAGGAGCAAAACATTTCACAATCACCTTGGTATGTTTATAGCTGCATACTGACATTGTGATGAGGAGAGAGAGACAGAAACTAAAGAGAGGAGCATGTTAATGCGCTGCCACTAATGTGCTCTTATTAAGCTGAGCTCTGTGATGTATGTTTCAGGGACATAATGTTGCAGTGTGCAGCTAGGCTAGCAGATAACGAATCAGCAGAATGATGGTGGTGTAAAATGACAGTGCCTGGACTGTCAAAGGAGAGCTAATGAACAGATGTGGAGATGTTGCCTGCAGAAAAATGACACATGAGCTGGCTTTACTGGCTTTACCTGGTTTGCAACATGTATAAGAAGGTCATTTATGGTCTTTGGCTGTCTCAAGCTGGTTTAAGCTGTACTACATGGTCTCCCACCATGGCTAAGATTTTGGTTCCCATTGACTTCCGTTGCATTTTGTGTCCATAAAATAGAAGTCAACAGGAACCAAAACTGTTTGATTTGGACATTCTTTTAAGATCTTCACCCTCATGTTGTTCTAAACCTGTATGACTATTTTTTTTTTCCAGGAATCAAAAAAAGGTTCTTTTGAAGAATGTTGGTAACCAGCTTCGGTTCCCATTGACCTTCATTGTATTATCAACATTCTTCAAAAGATTTTCTTCAAAAGACTTTTAAGTTCCACAGAAGAAAGTAAGTCATACAGGTTTGGAGCAACATGAGGGTGAGTAAATAATGACAGAATTTTCATTTTAGGGTGGATTATCCCTTTTAGCCATTTACAGTCAGCAGGTCAAAGCTGGTTTAGATAATTAACTGGAGCATGTTGGTCAAGCTCGTTAGAGCTGGTAGAACACTTTGGAACAGTAACAAGTTCCAAACTAACTATCATAATCCAAAAACAAACCAAAACACCTTAAGTCAGTAAGCTGTGGTCAGCTTAAACGAGGTTAAACTGGTTTAAGATGGCTGCAAAATGCCCCAAACCACTTGAAAAAAAAAAAAAAACATTAAAACAGACCAGTCTAATGAGCTTTGGAGACTTGCTAACCTTCTTAAACTGGTTTAAAGAGATAGTCCACACAAAAATTTGAATTCTGTCATCTAATCAAATCAAAATTCACTTACAGTCATTATCTCGTCAAAGTTGGTGTAGATGGTTAACTGAACCATGTTGGTCAAGCTGGTAGAACACCTTGGTGTAGTAACATGTTCTAAACTAGCTATCATGTTGTAAAAAAATAAATAAAAAAATTACACCTCAAGCTGGTACAATGTTGTCAGCTTAAACCAGTTGGCTTAGCTGGTCAGCCAACTGAAAAATGCCCAAAACTACTTGAAAACCAAAACAGACCAGCCTAATGAGCTCTGGAATCTAGCTAGCCAGCTCAGGCTGGTTTAAAATCATTCTTTCAGCAGGGAAAGCTGCTTGAAGGATATCCTTTACTCTTTCTCTCTCTCTCTCTCTCTCTCTCTCTCTCTATATATATATATATATATGAACAAATCTTAACAAGCGGCCTCTGCAATAGTAATATGTTGTAATATTCATAAAGTGTTACATTTCAAAGAACACCCAATCATACAAACAACACTGAAAAAAAAATCACTTGCTAGAATGAGATGATTAATCATTGCAGTAAATTGCAGATTCTGTGCAAAACAGACCTCACAATTTGTACACCTGAGGGGGTGTGTAGCGTGTCAGCATGAAGGTGCATCTCAGACTTTTATGAAATGTCTTGAGACAGACCCACACAGGAGGGCGATACGAGTCATTAGCTATGCGCATGAATACATAATCGTGTTAATGCCGAAAAACACTGCAACATCAGAGAGAAATTATACACTCCTCTACTTGGACAAGCATTGTTACAAAATAATCAAATGCTCACATGCAATTTCACTTCTTACTCTGGCCTCGCTAATGGTAGTGAAAAAATTTCTGTGTGCTTGCAAAACTGTCATTAGTGCGCTTTGAAGTTGGTACTGTATTAGCACTCAAAGTGTTTACAGAGAGCAGGGTATCATGGGTGTAAAAACTCATCTCAGGTAATTTTATCTTCCCAGAGATCCCTGCTGTGGCTGAGCGCTCTTTCTCTACGCTATCATAAAGGCCTTTCATTAAACAGATCAGCATTAAAGACAGCATGCTTGTGCACTGAAAGCAGTTATGATATGGAAATTCTAGCATGCAAGAAAAGGGTGTGTGAGGCACACATTTACACCAAAAGATCTTCTTTTTTTATCTCAGCTGCAAAAAACATCACAGTAATGCATGAAAAATAGAGGATTCTGGGGTATGGCTCATCAAAATCTCCATAGGGATGCACTGTCATATTGAAATAATGTCATATCAAATCGGTACTTCAGCATCAACACACAATCGCTAAAACACTTTCCGACAGCTGTTCTATCTATCTATCTATCTATCTATCTATCTATCTATCTATCTATCTATCATTTTAGATAATAGTAGGCTACATATTTAAAAGGAACTGAATGTTTAAAAAATATTATGGTCGAAGTTGGTCAAGATGGTTAACTGAACCAAGCTGTTTCAGCTGGTAGAACACCTTGTACCAGTAATGTGTTCCAAACTAACTTGAACACCTTAAGCTGGGACAATATGGTCAGTTGAAACCAGATTATGTCCCAAACCACTTGAAAATAATCAAAACCTAAATTAAAATGCTGTATCAGCAAGTTTTCTTACTCTATTGTTAATATCAGATAAATGGATACTTTGTGTTCAGAGAAAGTGCATCAGATAAAGTGAGAATATATTAAAATCCTGCTGTTTGTTGAATTTTAAGCTGCCTGCCACATTCAATTGTTTTCATCTGATCTATGGCCACGATGTGCCTTTTACCAATGACCTTGTGACAGAATTTTTCCTTTCTAATTTCTGTGATGGTTGGACTCTGAGGAGGGACGTGCTATTTGTCTGACAAACCGTTATTAAAGGTGTCAAGGACACCTCACAATGTTGCCCTCTAGGAGCCACGGTTTTGGTCTTTATTTCTTTTTGTTTCTCAGCTGCTGTTTTGTTCCACACTAATGCCTACTCTTGAAAAAATGGCTGTTTTGATTTCATTGTGCTAAAACATTCAATCTATGTTGATCTCTCTCAGCATTTCATTCAAAACTAAGTTTCATACTTGAGCAACCACAGCTCAGACGAAAAATCTAAATGTGACTTTAATGCTTATGGTCAGTCCAACATACCATTCATGTACACATTAATGCTTTATACGACCATGCGTGCATTTTAATCCAGACAGCGGCGTAAGAGTCCAAACAAGACGTAATTGATAAGATTGGAAATCAATGTGGCATGACTCCTCCAGCGGGGGATGTTTAAGACAGCCTCGCTAATTAGACGCGTGAATGCAGTATTCTCCTCTTGATTTATGTTAATAGGAGTGTTTGTTTACGTCTCCCATAATAAGCCGAGTGTCTGCTTTACTGGAATGCCATAGATGTATTCTACGGCTTCATTATCCCTGCCCTTTCTGGCACACAGCGAAGGTCATGCCTGTGTCCGGCCCCAGCGAGGAGGGCAGTGCTCGGGGAGAAACACCTGAGAATAATAGAGAGCAGGACCCAATTAATGTTAAAAAGAGGCCCCGGCGACAGCGCAGGTGAAGCAGTGAGAATTGCTCATCACTTCGCCTCGGTGCAGGCGATAACCTACGGCCCCATTGCTTTGCGTGCAGCAGGAATATATCTAAACACCGCTGACAACAGGGCAGGAAACTTTAAATTAGTCTTGTGATTCTCATGATAGTTTCTATTCTTGTTTCGAATACAAAAACTTTGCTAACACACACACACATATATATTTATACATGTGACCCATGCTGGCAAAACAAGAGAAAAATGTCAATTTTGGTCAAATTTGAGTTTTTCACAAAAATGAGCTCATTAAGCCCTTGTCTAGCGATCCCAATGCTCCAAATAGTAATTAAACATCTAAAATCTTTATTTGTACGTTTTCTGAGAGGTCTACCTTCTTTGTTTTAAAAAGTTGCATTTGTCCATTGAAAGCAAAGCACTTGCGTCTGACATTTTGGTTTCGGTTTTGAAAGGAACATGCAGGAATGAGAATATAAAGTGCAGGACTTGATTGAAGTTAAAAGAGTTATTAAGAGAGATAAGCCGTGAAAAGGATCTTATTTGTGCTGACTGACACATCTGAAGCGTGCACACAAAGACGCCTCTCAGACAGCGTGCAATCCCGATATACACATACACACAGAATTACAGTATTTCAAAATATCTGTCTTGGCAAGTATTCATGCAAACATAATCCGTTTTATCTTAAGTGAACGTTTGGTTAACTGTTGGGGGAAAAAATCTGATGTGTAACATAATAGTAGATCTGTCCATTACAGTAGGTCTTAATATATAGGCCGTCTATCTCAATGTTAATCCAACAATAAAAGAAAAAAGGGAATCACTTGCTGCTCTAGACTGAACTACTTTATTTGTAATGAAAACACTAAAGATTATGCAGTGATTTTTACATTTGATTATTTGTTTTTCTTACTTGAATGAATCTACAGTTTATTTGCATCTTTGTTCTTATTTTTAATAACAAAGATAAAATATCAAAAATAACTATATTATGATTAATATAGTAATTATAATTAATAAAAGAATTGGGAGGAAAAGATGCATTGTGATGCATCAAGAATCGTTTAATAATCGAATCGTTACCCTCTGAATGGTAATCGAATCGAATTGTGAGGCAAGTGAAGATACACACTTCTAGTCGCAATAACTTCTTCTGTGATTGGTCAAAACACCCCACGCGGTGCATTGTGGCATCATGGGGGAAAAAAAAAGTTGAACATATATTTTTCCTATAGATATGGGTTTGGACTTGTGCTGAATTTGGTGGTATTACCAGAGATTTTAAGGTATGGTTGCTAGGTGATTTTATTTTGGAACCTTCAGAAAACTAGATTTTTCTAAAAAAATGCAGAATCTATCAACTTCAAAAGGTTTTTTAATAGAGAATACTCATTTTTGAAAATTTGCTTATTGTGACTCATTTTGCCAGCACTAGTCACATATACATTTATTTGTGCTGTCCAGGGGCGTCCTGTGCCCTTCAGCAAGTAGGAAATATACAGAAATTGAATAATGTTGTCAAACACTAAATTCTAAATATAGATGAATCCTTAAAGCTACAAAAGTTATTGATTTCCTCTTTTTTCTTTTATTCTTTGATTTACAGACATCACAGCAGCTGGGTTATTAGGTTATTTTGACTGCTTTCAGAGCTGCCGCAGCTGAACATGACGCAGATCTGACACGCATCGTATTTTCTCACAACTCTGACTACAAATTTTCTCACAAATCTGACTCATATATAACAAATACTTACATGCATGCACAGTTTTAAGGCAGTTTTAATCGCCTTATATTTGCTGGTGAAATAATCACTACATATTATTTTTACGTTGACATTAATTTTCATCATAAATTGTTTTAATATTTTTATTTTATGTGTTATTTTTTGCAAGAGACTGGCGGTGATATTTCTGATTTATGCCCCTAAATGGGAAAAAAAAAATTTGTAATGAAACTGGACACAAAAAATGTCAATTAAATTGTCTCTTGTGGTCTAAAGTGGATGTTCTTGGCCAGAATAATCTGTCAAAAGTCTGTCTAGGCAAGACTACATATCAACCGAAGAGCTTTTACCAGCGTTTACTTGAGGCTCCCCATTAAACCTGACATGAACTTTGGCTCCAGACATCAATGCAGGTTCACGATTGAATTGCTGTTGTGCAGGATGTCTTAAGAATACAGAGCTTTAAAAGCAGGACACTATGACCTATGACTTGCTGTGAGACCTCTGCCTTTGCAATAAATGTAATAGTTTTTGGCTCCACACTGCAGGAACTCTCGGTAAAAGGCAGAATAATGTGTATAGCATACCTGCTGTGCCAGAGTAGTCTGCGATGCTCAGTGGGTAGCCATCCTCGTCGGGGTCAACAGAGAACAAACCCACTCCAAAAGAGCCATACTTTGCAAAGGAGGTACTGTTCTCGAAGTCCTCCAGGTCAATCCTCAGCTCATAGTTGGCTTGAATGGTAAGTGCATGGATTCGTTTCATGCCTGAAAAAGAGATTTAGATGAAGTTAATGGAGAAATGTGCAGATGAGATTTATTTGAATATACAGAAGGCGGAAAGAGTGTTTGGGCAATCAGCTTCTGCTACAGACATTAATGAAACCTCAAATCATGTAACTTACTGAGGAGAGGTGTGCCAGCAACATGCTAAAAACACTCAAAACCCCTTAGCAACGACATAGCTACACCCTGGCAACCACTCAGAATGGCCATGGCACATTTTGCACAGGAAATTTTCCAAAAAATAATAAAATAAAATAAAATAAAACTTTATTTAGACAGTAATGATGGATGTGTGTATGTATGTACATATAACTTATAGTGCTTATATATATATATATATATATATATATATAAATAAATATATGTGAACAAAATTAAAACAGAAATTCAGTTGTTCTGTGGGGAAAAAAATAAGCACACCCCGACTTTTTCCACAACACTTAATAAATACTTTTTCACCCATTATTTTACAGTAGATTATGCAAGTTTACTCATTTGTTTTTCAATGTGAGAAGAAATCAGTATAAAAACAGAATAGGTACTGGTACTTTTCTGCCTGTTAAGTTTACGGACATTTCCTATAATGCTAAAACACACACAATTCATTGTGCAATCCATAATATGGGTAAAACACCAGTGAAAACTCAACATGAAAAATATGATAAAATATCAATACACTACAATTCCTGCATATTACCATTGGGCCCTATTTTTACAGACTTTTCTTGGGAGTGATGAGGGCTCTTAAAAGTGTGAAATGTATTTATTTTTCCATATATATTTTCCCTGCCTTCATAGTTCAGAATAATCTTGATACTAGTGAAACCATCAACCAATCATACATTTTCCCCCACCTGTGACTGAGCTTTTTGTTTTCAAACTTCTTTCTCTAAAATTTAAGGTTCCACAGTAACATTCATAGCAAAGTTTTATGGGAACCAATGCAACAGTGTGCTTCTGAATCTTCTCTCTCTGAGGGGCAGGCCTGCTAGAGACATAACATCTCTTTCTTAGCTTAGACCGGCTTGAAGGACTCTGGTCTACTTCCTGAGATCAATATCTCAATTGGAGACCCAGATTCTAGTAAGTTCTGCTCTTAATATTCCACCCAGTTTTCAGAGAGAGGAGGAGAAGCGTTTGACAGGAAACTAATGTGCTTACCTACAAATTAATTCCCTTTGTAGCCCATTCACTGGCATGTGCGTTGCACCCCCAGGACAGAAAATCAATACAGCAGAGTTTTGCTAGGTCTAATCGTAGCTTGCTGCTGGTCTTCAGCTGTTGTGAACCGCAGCGCATGTTTGGGTAGGGTGTTAGGTGAATAAAATTTAGCTATTAACAGAAATTAACAGAATGTGTTGCTTAAAAAGCATCATACTGTGCCTAACAGATGTTCAACAGCCATTAGATATAAAAAAAAGAGCTACGGGTTATAACAATTATTAACATAAGCATTGACACTGAGATATTGTTTTAAAGTCAGCGTGAAGCCATTCACAACCCATTTCATTTGCATAATCGGTAACTTTTAGAATGAAACGAGATATTCAGAGAGAAGACATGTAGGATGGGCCTTGGTTTTGTTAATCAGAAATTGACTGGATAATGAAAATTTGCCATTACGTATCAAAAAGAGTCAGGTGGGAAGGGTAGTGCTTGAAAAGCAAGAGGAATTCATGATGTCATCCAAAAGTAAGTTGTCAAAACACTCTAAAAAAATTAAAATAAAAAAAAATACATAAAACACACCTTGCACTGAATAAATCACGCATGATAAGACCAGAAATAAAATAAAATAAAATAAAAGTGTATTAAAAATTAATTGTAGACTATAAATAAAAAAAAAACATTTATAAATTGTGCATTTATTATTATCAACATTTATGCTAATTACTATCAGTGTTGCTTCAGTATTTTTATGTACTACTATAATGTTTATTAATATTGCAAATTAGCTTTAATTTTTTTTTTTTCAGTTTTCATTTTAATTTTAGTTTAGGTTTTCATTCATTTATGTGGTTTTGTCATTTTTATTAGCTTTTGATTTAAAAAAAATATTTTTATTCAGCTTTCATTTATTTTTATTTCAGTTTTAGTTTTAGTAATTTTAGTACTTCAACTAAGACTTATACATACACACACACATACACTATACATATATATATATATATTGTGACGAGAGGGGCGGGGCCGAGAGCCGCTGGAACGGAGCGAGGCCGGTGGAGTAAATGCTAATGCACGACACCTGCGTCACTCACCGGTCTCGAGTCCCACGGTGGAGCTCCGGAAGGATAAAAGGAGGAGTGACGACAGTGTTGGACGAGAGAGGACCAGGCCTG